TTGCCTACAGAATTGTATGTTTCCTTTTCTGTCTATTTAAAGTTGACAAGCGACGTATAAAGCAGAGAAAATGGCTTGTAGGGACCAGGGGAGAGAAAATGAGGAAGGCTCACCTAAACTGAACAAGACTAACAACTCCCTCTTCCCCTCTCTGCTTAACCTTTTAAAGAAATCTGTTCAAGCTGATCGCCTTTTTCCTGCTGTTAGCAAGGAATAGCAGCTTTAATCAACTAGTGTTACTTTCTGCTTTCTTTGCAACTGTGCTGTTAAAAATGAAAACCCAGATTTTTGCTGAAGTTGCAAGTGCATTGTACTTCCTTGTGGTTTGTTGTGAGAAGTTAATTCACTGAGGCCTCTGGAAAAAAAATCTAAACTTTCTGTGTGAGTATTTGATTGTGCATTAGAAATGGTTTCTTGCTTTTATGCAGTAGGGATATTTGGCTTTTTGATCTCTTTAACCATAAGATAGGCTGTTACGGTGTTCCGTGACCTGTAATAATCAAGTAAAATGCTTCCTTTGTGTGGTGTGGAAGCAGAGAGTTTGTAAAGCAGATACTGAAAGGCATACAGAGTTCTCAGTGAGGGTTACTGCTACTGCCAAAATAGTTATCTTGAATGTTGGTACAACTAGGTCGGGGGGGGGGATAAAAAAATCCATCATCTCTCTACCCCATTCATCCTTTGCGTTTTTAATAGAGTAAAATGAAGTTAGAATAATTTGTCTTCAGTGGGTTAAAAGTAGAATAGGATTAGAAAACATGCCTTTCCATCAAGAAAAGGAAAAAATAGACATTAATGTGATTCTCATTAAATGCCTTTGTTTTCATGAATCAAAGGTATGAGGGTAAAGAATCATGCCAGCATTAATGGGTTGATGGTTTTCAAATCTACTACAGAATAACAAGTGAAATCCTTAATTTTCTGGAAGAGTGAAAAATGCTCATTTCGCTTAATCCAGCATGTTCTCTTCTTGAAATGTTTGCTCTACGTTTATTTTTCCAAAGCACGACTCCAGATTTACTCTCTGCTAGTAACCTTCTTCAGAACCTTCACCCTGGCAAAGCTTCCAGTTTGGGGAGTAGGGCTGCCATAAATGTGGCCTCCTGCACACGTACGTACTCCAAGCTCACTGGCTTTTGGGGTGTAGCTTTGTTGGTAATTCAACTAATAAATCCTAAACATAAATCTAAGCATTTCCCAAATACGGGGTTCTCTCCAAACCACTTCTGCGCTCAGTGACGCTATAATTTTTATTCTGCTTCTTTCCCACGCTTTACGGCAAAACCAGGAATATTTTTCCTCCATTTAGCTGCAGCCTGTACGGAGAGCACAGCAGGGCCTTGGGTCCTGCCTTTGTTCGTTTGGTTTCTTCTCTGAAATCAGGTGCACGGTTCCTAGTGCGTGTGGTCTAGTTGGGCAGCAATGAAGGCTCTTCACTTTCTGGTGCTGTTTTTTGGAGCTTGACAGCTTTATATTATGTTTAATCAGCTCCTTCAAAAGTGAGGCCAGGGTTGGATCATTTTTACTCTTCTCACAGTCTGCCTTGCAGTAAAGCTTGTGACCGTGTCGCTGTGCAGCCTGATCAACTCACTGATTCAACAGAAAACAAACCAGTGCTAAAAAGCTAATTTTCTGCGAGACTTTAAGTTGGTTAGTTGTACTGTGCTGTTGTGTAATTGCTGGATTTGATGCAAGAGAAAGAAGGGGGAAGCGGTTGGAGGGTTGGGAGGCCACTGGGTTTGCTGCTGGCTTACAATTAGCTTGGGATGGCATGTGAAATTGCACACTGATTGTCCGCGTGCCTGCTTATGTTGTGATTATGATTAATTCTTCAGGTATTGATTTCACTGGCCAAAGCTGGTGTTACTTAGGACTGGTAGGTGTTCCCATGTACTCTAAGATTTACCTTTCCAAATAGCATGTGTGGTATTAAAATGATTTTTTCAAAAGCTTGTGAAGTTGTAACAAGTAACAAAACAAACTTCTCTTTTTTTCTTTGCTTGGGGAGGTACACATAGGTGAGGCATTTGCTTGTATAGCGTACTTGAGTTTTAAAAATATTTTGGTAAGGCCTTTCATCCCTGGCCTTTAAAGAAGCAAAACTCTCATAAGACAAGAATGTTTTTCATAGATTTACAGCGGGTTAGAAGATGGGAAATGGGGTTAGGAGCAAATGGTTGGTTCTCACAGTGAAGGGTTATTCCCAGTGAAGTGTCCTGCTGGAGATCAGTGCTCTTGCAAATACTCCCTTGTCTAGATCGTTTCTAAATAATAAGGTGGCCAAATTGAACCAAATTTGTGAAATTTGAAATGAACCTTGAATTGAAAGGAAGGGAGAAAGATTGAGATCTGCTGAGTGATAAAATGGCAGATGAAATAGCCTCAACGCATTTGCATAGGGAGAAGAAATGACTCTGGTTTCATGTGCACGAGTAGAGGCGCAACTACCAAAAGGCAAGTAGACTTCTAGAAAGTATTTACTAAAGAATGGGAAATCCTAAGCAGTAAATGACTGTGTTGTGATATCAACTTCTGTTACTGCCAAATCTGAAATGTAGAGTGCTTGGTACTGCATATATCTCAAGAAATGAAGTGTAATAGATGGATGGAAAGACATCAGGGATGATCGGAGATATGGAGCAGCTTCTAAATAGAGGGATTGAATTTCACGAGATCCTCAGTTCAGAAGGAGATGGCCAATTTCTGTAAAATCATGAGTGACATAAAGAAGGCGAAGGTGACTTGATCGTTCTTAAAAAGCATGCCCCCTGTCTACAGCTTGGGGAATAAATGTCCAAGTAAGCTGAAGTACTTGTTTGTGTAGCGTGGTCACTGCACCACTGTTGCGTACTTGGTGAGGGTGAAACGGGAAATACAAGTGGCTTCAAAAAAGGGGTTGGTAGAGTGTGTGTGCCCATTGCTGGCTGGTAGAGCCTCCACCACAGGTTGCATCTACAATGCCTAAGCTGCTGGTAATATAAGGCAAGGGAATATATATATTCTTTTCTGATACTCTTGACATGAGGATTTGTGTCTGAGGATGTTGGGCTTGGTGGACTTTTTATCTAACTAGTTTAGGAGGTTTCGTAGTTCTCATGTTTTTGATTTTTTTGTGTTATTTACTGCTTTTCTGGTTGTGTGACAAGCTCAGCCCTTATGGGGGGGGGTTGCATTTTTCTGATCTGGGATCCGTATCATCAGTATAGTTGTGTTCATGATTAGGCTGGCACTTGCATCCTCTGCTGGCTCCAGTTCTACCAGATTAAGAGGTTATTGCTTGCAGTCTGTTCTTAGTTCTTTGTGACCATCTTTCTACCAGATGCTGCCACCTCCTTGTTTCAGCTTTGTCTGTGAACTTGCCTTAATCTATTACTGACAAAAAGAAATGGGTTAGGTTAAGTAAGATAGGGGGGTGTGTGTGGTGTTGGGGTTTTTTTTATTTTATTTATTGGTGCCTCACCTTAGAGAGTGATCACAAGGGCAGGTGAACCAGCAGATTTGGACGTTAACTTTTGGAGTGAAGCAGCAGTCGTGAGCACCTGGGAATGTGTATATAGGATCCTTTTCAAATGCTGGGTGTATAATTCACAAACCTGGAAATGCCCCAGGAGAAGATGCCCCTTTTTATTCCTGTTGCTACTAGCCATCTGACAACAGATCGACATTCTTCTACAGCTGGCTTTACATATTGGGGGAGAACACCAGGATGATGCAGTTTACCTGAAGTTTAGTGTTGCTCTCATTTAAAGTTAATTTTCCATGATGTCAATATTTTTTTTTATTCTGCCAACAATTAACTTCAGTGGAACAAGATAAAATACTGTAACTCATTGGACCTGTTCTGTGGTAGTTTAACTTGCCCAGAATGGTTTTCTAGGAAGGGTATATGCCTTTATGCTGAGAAAGTCATTATAGACCTGCGTGTTGTCCAAGTTGACGCTTAATTCTGCTTTCATTCTAAATGGCACAATAGTAATTTGAAGAATGATAACAATGTTAGGCTTGAAATCTGTGCTTTACTTCTCTCCCCTGTCTTTTGCAAGTGATATGTTGCTTCTTCAGAGGGTTTGGAGAAATGTTATTAGAGGACATCTTGAATGTGCAAGCTCTATTAATGTGGCAAGTTCCGTTACAGAATCAATGCTTAGTGTTCGTGCAACTGGTGAATATCAAAGACTATTCTAACTGTGTTAATGTAACAGCAAAATCTGCCAGTTTACTCAGGTAATGTATTCGAAAGCTTAATAGGCCTCTGTTTACTTGAAACAGTGACCTGAAATAAATAACTGAAACAGCATTCCAGCTCCAGAGCTTGTCCTTGGGTTTTCTTGCCAGTCATTTTGGTTTTACAATTCCATTTTCATATAATTAAAAATTCTTCTGTGCTGTGTGAAAGACACATGGAGCAGAAACTGTAGGTCTGATGAGTGTTGTCAACTGTACAAAGTAAATGCATTTGGGAAGAAAAAAATTCCCTTCTAATGTGCTTAGCATTAAAGGTCACCTTGAGTTGGAGTGTGTTGTTCTGGTGCTCATTTCTCTTCCCCAGGCCTCAACTGAATGCAGAGCACTGTTCAAGATCTCTGTCCTGAAATTGAGCGTGCTTTAAACTTACCTGAGGTTTCAGAAAAAACTCGGTTAATTTTTAGGAAGGTAAATTTTAACCTAATTTTTAGGTTAATTTTACCTTGTCAGGAACTAAATCCATAAGTCATTTCTTGGAATTTGTTTCTGTTTTGCTTTTAAAATTTTGCATTTCCATCAGCATGGATATCATCTTGCTTTTGTCTCGTTCAGCAGTTCAGGTTTTTAATCTTCAATATTTAATATTACTTGTGAGAAGAGCAAGTTGTTTTCAAAATCAGATGTCCTGAAGAAATTCAGAGAGAAAATTCATCGGTTAACTCTAGCAAAATTTCTCAAAAGTGTATGTAGATTGCTTTCCATGGAGGAATAATTAAAGACACAACTAACGCGCTTTGTTTTCTTTCCTTACTTAGGTCATGATTTTCATTTTCTCGTGTCATTCTCTTGAAGAGAGGAAATGATTGTAGTGGAACGTGTTACAAATAAGCCACTGATACGGAGCCTTCACAGTTCAGAAACGTTCATAGAAGAGCAAATATAGCCCTTTTTTGTTTGTGTTCTGGAATCTGTCTTGTTAAAAAGGGAAATAAAAATGACGACTTCGTCTATTAGGCGGCAGATGAAGAACATTGTGAACAATTATTCAGAGGCCGAAATAAAAGTTCGGGAAGCGACCTCTAACGACCCCTGGGGTCCCTCCAGTTCATTAATGACTGAAATAGCAGATCTGACTTACAATGTTGTGGCCTTTTCTGAAATTATGAGCATGATCTGGAAACGACTGAATGACCATGGCAAGAACTGGCGACATGTATACAAGGCCCTTACTCTGTTAGATTACCTGATTAAAACTGGTTCCGAGAGAGTGGCACAGCAGTGTAAAGAGAATATTTTTGCTATCCAGACGTTGAAAGATTTTCAGTATATTGATCGAGATGGTAAAGACCAGGGCATCAATGTGAGGGAGAAATCCAAGCAGCTAGTGTCTCTTCTGAAGGATGACGAGCGACTCAAGACAGAGAGGGCCCAAGCCCTGAAGACCAAAGAACGCATGGCTCAGGTGGCCACTGGAGTGGGTAGCAATCAGATCACCTTCGGCCGAGGCTCCAGTCAGCCAAACCTATCCACCAGCTACTCAGAGCAAGAATACGGAAAGTCTGGAGGATCCCCAGCATCTTACCACGGCTGTAAGTACAAGCAAACACACAGAAAAGAAGTTGCTCTTCCTTTTCTTTTGAGAGATTTTGTATTCTGATTTGCTGTTAGACATGAGAGTAAGTGGTGCCTGCTAGGAGGATTAGTATGCTGACCGCGAGGGGCTTTTTGCAGTGGCTGAGTCTTTGTAGGTCTGCTCGGTGACTCTAATGTCTCTTCAAATGACTGGTTAAACGTTTGGTTGTGAGAGGGTGTGTGTGTTGATGTAAATCAATTTAAAAAGCAGTTGTTTACTGTCAGGTCCTAAAGGTAGCATTGTCAAGCTGCTTTTGTGAACATGTTCCAGTGTTTGATGTGATAGGCCCCCAGCCTCAGTAGGGAGAATGTTAATGGATTTTATTTGTTTCTAGTTTTAAAAGGAGTGCTTGAAAATTTTTTGTGTTGAGGTTTTTTTGTTAAGTATAATTCAAGAAAAAATAAGAAACACAGTATTTCCTGGATCGTTTTGCTAGCTATTTTCTTTATGTTGCTGGTATTTTATTTTAGGAAGAATATTGGTATTTAATTTCCTTTACTGCTTGCTCAGCAGTTCTTAGAGGAGTAACTCTTTGAATATGTCAGTGTTTAAATATTTATACTATCAGCATTTGGTATGCAAGTATCAGTACTAAATACTATATTTCATTCTTTAAAAAAAATACGATGATGTGGGAAGAATGGGTTCTTTATCCACTGCTTGGGGGAACTCCCTGTCATGTTAGGAAGAGGTCTGATTTGGCACTAAATCCTTCTTAATATAAGTAATGATCTGATGAAAGCTGCTTTGGCTGGAATGTCAGTGGCTGTGGTCTAATTCTGAAGGAAAATCTTTTCTTTAAATGAATGCTTATAGTGTGTGGAGGACTGTAACTGAGCCAGTGTGGTGAATCGATTGAGCACCAGTTTTAAGAATCTTAAGCTTGTCATGTCCTGTGTCCCAAAGCACTTCTCAAGTAATAAATACGTGAATGGTGTCAGTACCCCTGACGTGTACAGACGTTTTCTGTGGAAGGCAGTAGGAGGTAGCAGGACAAATCAAGCTAGGATGAAGAAAATCTCTGTCCATTTAAAGCTATGGAGAAGAGCAGGAAAAATTATTTTTTTCAAAAGGAAATAGTTTTAGGATGCAGGGTTCAAAAAAAGTGCATGAAGCTTTCCAGGTACGAGACTTTTTATCTTGTCTCTTAACTAGCAGTGGAATAACAGACATCTTAGTTTTTCTGTAATAACCATACTTGAACATGGATTCAGTGTGAATTTTTAAAGAAGAACATGTATATTATCACAACAATAACATTTTTTTCTTTTGAGGTCTGTAGATCTCTGTCGACTACAACAAAAATTCTTAATTTCGGAGATAGCTTGAAACGTTGTTGTTTTTAACTTACGCTGATGGACTGAAATGATAGTCACTAAGGTATGCTGAGCACACCTTTGGTTTGTTCCACAGGGTTATTTCTTCACCAGCTCTTAACTTTAATTAGTGCATGTAACTATTGTTTGTCATGTTAAATGCTACCAGAGGCTTCAAACTATTCCTCACAGCAAGGATTGAGCAATGCAGGGTGTGTTTCTGAATTGTTGTTCCTTAGATACTTTAAGAATTTTGATGGGGGACTAGATGTCAAGAAGCAAGTTTGGTTATTCTTTCAGTACAAAGTTGATTTACTGGATACTCTCATTTGCCCGCGTATGGCTTAGCTGTGTCTCTCTATTTGCAGGATTACTTTTGAGGTAATGATTTCTTAATCTTTTTTTCTCCTCCCCCATAAGCATGTACCTAAGAAGCTTTAGAAATCTCAGGCCGCTTTTTTTCCTTTAGGGTCCTGCTCTGTGGACTCTCCTGGACTTAATCTATCCGCAAAAATATGGACAGTTGTTAGTTTTTATGATCTGTATCTTTTGAAGTTTTAATATGTTTCTTGTATGGTTTAATTGAGTATAGCAAAGCAAACCAGCACCCTACAAAACAGCTGTGCTAAGTGCTTCCGATAATGGAAAACTTTGTGTAGAGCTTTGTTCTTTATCCTAGGAAATGAGGAAGGAGTTTCATCAAAATCCAGACATTTAATCTGTTACATAAATGTAGGGTTATTCTTGTGCCTTCTAAATTTAATGGAAAAGATGCTTTTCATTATTTAAAGTGAAAGAGATTGTATCCATCGTGTTTTCTTTTATTCTTTTATTCTATAATAGTACCCTTCTTTTGTTCTGAAAATATGGGTTCAGTAAAATATGTAAAAGGAATTAAGTTATGTTCAGCTCCTGGGAAATACTCTCCTTATAACAGTTTTAAGATGCGGTTGCTGTACTGTATATTCTGGTAGAATCGCCTTTCATTCCTCTGAGCCTTTGAAGAGGAGATCAGAGGCATTTAGATTTGCAATCTATAGTATGAGATTTGCCTATTAAAAATGTACATCCGCCTTCTTCGCTAAATATTTAGCATGTCTTATTAACATTGAAATATAAATAAAGTTGGGGAGAGTGTAACAGCCTTTTTACCAACATAGCTAAATGAAATGTTTCATCTCTCGGTGTTTTGGTATTAGCACATTGTACTTTTGTTCCCTGCTAGACACAATGGGTGGGGATTGCAGATTTTGAGAATTCTTAGCTGAATGCGTTCCCCTTACTTGATAAGATTGTGTTTGGCTATAAAATCTCATCATTTTTTTAATACTTCCTTGCAGAAGAAAAGAAGCCTGGCTGAAAGAGCGTAATAGTTTCTCCAGGACAGATCACTAGGGGAACAAGTAACTTTCAGTGGATAATGTGTTAGGGTTGTGCATGAGGGATCTCTTCCCTCTTCTGTCAGTTACTAAAAGTGCAGTATTGGATAAGTCAGTGGACCCTTTTTTGTTCAGTTTCTTCAGAATGTTGAATTAGCTGCACTGTACAGCATTGACTGTAAACACTGCAGTGCTCAAACTACTGCTTTTCTCTAGCTTCTTAAGCATATGTGTAGGCTTGTATCTGAGAGTGCGTATAAGAATTGCTTTTTGTATTTGATGTTGAGCCAGAAAGGTTTTTCTTGTAGAGTTGCTGGTCTTTGTGTCCCAAATTTATCCTTTATGAAAAAAATAAAAGCAGTATTGATAGCCTGTATAGTGTGAGAGAATTCAAGATGGAAAAGGATCTCTTGACTGATCATTGTCCCTCACTGCTGCAGGCAAGACACGCTGGCGACTAAGGACGTTTTCCCGGTTTCCTTGCAGATATTTTCATCTCATCTCTAACAGTCCTTTAGAAACTGTGGAAAGTGAAATGGTGAAGCGTGATGGTTTTTAATAAAATCCTTTCCCCCAAAGCTTTGCCTTAATGACTCTGTTGGCCCTGAAGATCTCTGTGCTGTAAAGGTGGTATAATTCTAGAGAGTAGATTATGGCATGTGAATATTACTGAGTGTTGATGCAAGCATTTGTAAAAGTATTAGTATGTTTTTGCCATCTAGTCTCGTAATCTGTAAATGGAAGCCGAGAGAGATACTGTAAAGCTAAAAGCAAAAATAGGGCTTCTCCCAACCTCCATCTTGTCAACAATTTCTGACATACTGGGGACAATTGGCTATCTTCTAACTTTAAGCCAGGGGCAATTAATGTTCAGATTAGGAGCTATTAAATATTCTATGGCAACATACATAAAAGTTTTCATTTATTTTGGAAAATGTGTAAATTGTATGGAGTTGCATGAAATCTGATACCGGGTTTTATTTCACGTTAAGGGAATGTTCTTGTGTGGTGCTGAAATTAAACCTACTGGGGAGAGGAAGGAATATGAGGTCAGTATTTGAAATATTTTGGAGCAATATTTCCCCACCCCTAATCTGCCTTCGTGTCTAAATACTGTCTTTATGCTAGATGTTAGTCACCCAGTTTTGAAAACTTCAGCCTCTTGTTCCTAGCCTTGTTTCATCTACAGCTGCCAATGACCACTTAAATAGGATTCTGGATTTGTGGCTGCATGGGGAAAAGTAGGGTGTTCTTAATATAGACCTCTTAAGTTTGAACTGTGGTGCTGTTCCAAGCCTGGGAGTGTATTTGTTAGAGTTTACTGGACTTGATAAAGTCCTTCATCTAGTAACTATCTTTTTAAAGTGTTCTTTCAGCAGAAGCTTACATGGAAATATTGCTCTGTTGCTACACTGGAGTCGTCAGCATGGCAGAAGCGTAACCCACAGTCACTGCTGTGTGGCAGACAGAGTACCTGCAAAACGCTGTGCTCGAGCACCTCGGGCCTGCAGAAGCTCTTAGGAGACGGGGCAGGAGTGTAGGGACCCGGATTACCTTGTTTTTTTCTCAACCGTCTTGGGAGCAGGTTAGTTGTGTTGTCTTTAGCGGACCTATCCGGATTGTCACAGTTGAGCTGTGGCTGCTCAGGAAGCAAGCTCCTTGTGGCTGGGGCGGTTACGGGAGTCGGAAAAATGATGGAAAAATACCCTACCTGGAGGGAAGTGACTGACAAAGCCAATTCCTTGGCACCCCTGCCCCCGGAAGACAGTGTGTTTGAATTAGTTTCAGGTTCAAAGGATCCCTGGAAAAATGTTGGTCCTCTCCCTGTACTGCCTTCGTGTTTTAAAACCAAGTTTACTGAAGCCCCGCTTTTTAAAGAGGTCCAATCCTATTATGCCTAAACCAGGACCTACCTGTGTTGTTTTGGGTTGTACACATGTCCTTTCCTTTGGCCATCTGCTGCCTTGGGTTTCAGTTGCACTTAGAAATGTTGGCAGAGCAAGACTTTGTGCGTGTTTTAATGTCCCGATTTCATTTGCACAAACGTGGCAGAGTAGGGAACAACGCAACGTGCACAGTGTGACCTGATTTTAGAGGAGCACTTTGCCCGGAGGTAGGCCGCTTGGCTGAGAAATCTGATTCATTATACATACAACCTATTTGATAAAAGATTGGTGAAAGATGGACTGAAAAGGGTTTTTATGGATCTTGTGAAATGCCAAGTCTGTTAACCTTACCTGTAAAGGTTTTGGGAGCAATTT